TTTCTTAACCTTTTTCAAGTTTAACACTCCTCATGGTAAATTTGATTATTCATTTTTTTCGTGTACAAAATAGTAAATTGACCTTGAATGAAATGTATAATAAATTATTCTCACAGCAATATTTAATAATTTAATGAACTTAACTGCACTGCATAATAGTTGAGAGTAGTAAGAGTAAGTGAAACGGTAAGATAAGTGAACGACCATTAGTGTGTGAGAGAGAGAATAACTTGTGGTTTTCGAGTAGGTATCTACTTTATATGCACGGTGTTCATTTTTCAAAAGAACTGGACTGAGTACTAGTTGTTCAATATTCGCTTCTATTATTGACTTGTGTTTTGTACACTGACACGTTTTTTAACAATTACATGAGAAAGTAATTTCTCATTACAATTTTTTATACTCTTATTCCCTCTTAGACTATATAAAGTCTTGTTTAAGCTGATGAATGGGATAACTTGTGTTGAGTCCCAAAGTGTTCAGCTATGAAACTTCTTATACTATAATGTGTACCTGTCACATATTATTCTATAAAGGAGTACTACACTGTCTGCATAAATCATTTTTCCATTTTTCTCTGTGAACCTATTATGAAAAACATAAATTTAACACTCCTTAGGTTAAGTTCTAAACAGAAGAGTGTAAACTTATCAAGGTCGATACTCCTCAGGGTAAATTTGATTATTCTTTTTCTCCGTGTGAAACAAATATAAATAGTAAAGTGAATTCGATAAATCACCCATCATAGTCATCAATGTTGAAGAAAGCAGTCGTTTCATTCTCATTCATACATGTATAAAATCAATTTTATTATTTGAATATATTTTATTATTTAAAACACCTTGACATGACGTGAATTTTCAAGTTTTTTGAAAATTAAAATTTTTTAAATGCTGTAAAACATGCACATGATCTAATAAAGATGTGAGTTAAAGTGATTCTGTTTTGTAGTTATGTATACAAAAAATCTATGTAAACAGATTTTCTCTACATTTTCACTTCATTTAAAATCTGTTCCTGACCACCGTGTATATCTAAATATTTTCTTTAAAATTTTTTTTTTAAATTCCATAAAAAATAATCTTTTAACCACCCTTTTCCCAATTTCCTTCTTCTTACTTTCAACTAATGATTAATTAAAGATGTAATTTAATATTCATTACAAAAAGAACTTAACAAACTTAATAAAAATTTGAATAAAATAAAACCAATTAAAATTACATGTCATGTAAATAAAATTTTACAAATTTTAAACAAATAAATTTTTAAAAAGAAAGCATAAATTTCATAATAAATATCAAAAAGAGTTACCTTTTTTCTAATATATATGGGTGATTAAATTTAAAATGTCATTTTCATGTCCTGCCCAAAAATCTGGAATACTAGTTCATATATAATAGTTTTTGAAGTCAATTAATTTTCTTAATCACTCCTTTTACTTAAATAATTAATTCTTAGTCGCTAGAAATTCTCTGAAAAAATTTGGCAGAAGAATTAGAAGCAAAATGTCAGTCGTGTCCCTTGTCCGCACTTAAGGGGACCCGCACCTGAATTTGACTGTATCAAGACAATAAACATAATTTAAAACACTGTAACATTTGATATATAATTAAAAATTCATAAAACCCATGCCCTTAAATGTAAAAGAGAGTGTTATAAACACAATGAAACAAGAACCATAAAAAAATATTGAAATTTGTGGAAGACGAAGCAATTTACATATTTTTTTATGGTTCTTGTTTCATTGTGTTTCTTAAACTCTCTTTTACATTTAAGGGCATGGGTTTTATAAATTTTTAATTATATCAAATGTTACAGTGTTTTAAATTATGTTTTGTATTGATACAGTCAAATTCAGGTGCGGGTCCCCTTAAGAAATCAGAACTTTACCTAATAATAAAAATTGTTGATTCTCACATTTTTAGTACCAGAAAAATTATTTTGTATAGCTAAGAGTCTATATTTTTATATAGTAATTGTGCTAGCAGAATAATTTTGATCCAGTGCTAGAAAAAAAATCAAAGTCGCCTGTCCGTAAGTTTCATATTTTTAAGTAATTATCGCAAATTTTGAATATCATGCCTGATATTTAAGTAACCTAGTGCAGATAATTGCCTTATTAAGCGTTGATAGTATTGGTGATCTGTATAGCTTCTTAAAGAAAAAACATTACAACATTCTATCACATCTATAACTTGTACGGTTGGTGGCAGAAAGCAAGTAACACTTTGTCGAGCACACCATGTCAGTGGTGTCCCCATTAAAAAATTGTTCATAATATTAATATTTTTTAAATATTACTGTATCTCATTTTCAGTTATTACACGTACTTTAAAAATCGCAACGACTTTAACTTAAAAATAAAGTCTTTCTTTTTCGAAAATAAGAAATGAAGCAAAATGTTAGTGGTGTCCCCTAAAAAATTCTGTTTCTTGCAGCTTATTATTTTATTTTTAATAAATTTGTGTTAAATTTACTCCTTATATGCAGTTAATGAAGATTTGATACTGGATTGTAATTTATAAGCTGATTTTATTCTCACTATTCAAAAAAAATTATCAGTGAAATCTTTGAAAAATGTCAGTGGTGTCCCTCAATGTTCATATGTCTTTCTGGTCTTCAAAAGTATATTAATTAATGGCAGAACTCATTACAAATATTTTTTAAGTCATGTTGAAACATTCATTATTGTAATTTGAAATATTTTAACTTTTTAAAGTTGCAAGAATTTATTTGAGAAAAGAATAAACGAAAACAGAAAATTTTTTATCATTTCTGCCTATCGTTTTTCACCTGGTGAAAATTAAAATTTGCTTCCACCTGCTCGACCACTACTATTCTAGTCAACCAAAATAGAGTATCGTTAAGTTCAAAATCCAACATCGAAAAATCAAAGTTAGTAGGATCAAAAATGACATTTTAAACTTAATCACCCATATACAATCAATGATTTCAAATCATATTTATTAGATACTTGAAAACAAAGACATGGTAACTATATAAAAAAAAAGCTTTTCTCTATAGATTTGTTGTCACATCTATTTCTTTAAGAATGAATTTTCTATCTAAGCGTTAAAACTTATTAATAGAAAGAATACTTAAAATACTTTTTCGTATTTTTTCTTTGAGGGAAGGGAAGGGTGACTACACATTAGGGTGGCTCTTATTTACCAAGTTGAAGATAACTTTTGGGCCCCCCTCTACATCAAATCTTTGGCCCAAATTATGAAAAAATTCGATAAGAAAATTGATTTTGAGATTGATTAACTCTCTCCCGTAAGCGCCTGCTTTTCCCATTTAAAATACATGGGATTTGACAAACCTTTGGTTTTTTTAAAATAATTTTTCTACTTAACAAAATTTTTTAAATCGGCTTTTAGATTCTTAAAGTGCACGCTATTACCTTTAAAATGATCAAAATACAAGATTTTCGGTTCATAATTCAATAAGTTATAAAGCTTTTAATATAGAGATTAATAGATTAAGCCAAATACGAATAAAATTTTTTTTTCATAAGCATGTTTGGTCTAATAGTTTTGTGTGATCGTAAGGAACAATACCCGCGTGAAAATGAAAGTATGGCTGAAAGATATTAAAGTCTAGAGAAGTATGTTTTCAGACTGACCAACTATGGTTGAAAGATAATACAAGTTGACTGCAATTCTACATCAGCCAACTGCCAAACTTCTTAAAGCTGACAAACAATGGCTAATGAGCAAATCCCATTGTTCGAGTACAGCAAAGAATAATAGCTTAGAAAGTATGGGCTCAGGCAAATCGGTTTTATTTTCAAATTTTTCCTTTTTTCCAAAGTCTTGGAAAGTATGGGAAGAAGCTAGAATCAGCTTTTTGGAAAGTTATCATTTTACTTTTAATTTTTTCGTATTTTTCAAAGTCTGGAAAAGTATGTGAAGAAGCTAGTTTTCCACAATTTTTCATTTTACTTTCAATTTTTCCGCGTGAAAATAAAAGTATGGCAAATCAGTTTTTTATGGTAAAAATAATCAAAATTTCAGTCATGTGTAAAAGCCTATGGTTTAATCATATTGAGTGTATGTTAAAATTTTTAAAGGTTGGACTATGGGATATAGCAAACAAAGTATTGACAAAAGGAAAAATGTATTTTTTATTAATTTTATTATATTATAAATTATAACTATAATATATAAATTTTTATTTTAAACAGAAATTTAAATAAGCAAAAATAAAGGCATCCCTAGTCGAAATTTAAGACCTACTTTAAGCCTGAATTTTCAGGGTTTGTTGACTATTAGTAGTAGTAAAGGAGGTTCTAATTTCAATGCAATTAGGCCCTACTTTGAGTCCCGAAGTCAGCAAAATAAAAATACAAAATCCAACCTGAAATTCGCCAATCTTTCATTTGGAGAACTAAAGGAGGGTCTAGTTCGAATTTCGTATACCTTACTTTCATACTCCTAGACCCTACATTCTGAAGTATAATTTTAAATTATTTTCTTAATGCATTGCTTGAAACACTGCAAATGCAAAAAGTACTCCTAATTGACAAATGCTGATGTGCTTTATAGCGTCTATATACGAACTGTATATAGACGCTATAAAACACATAAAATTCCACTTTTACTCATCCCAAGTGCTTCAATGCAATCTAATCAAATTTTCAAATTTTTCTTTTTCTAGTTGTAGGGTCTAGGAGTATGAAAGTAGGGTCTACGAGGTTTATAAAGTAAGGTATAGGTTTCTTCGAATTAGGCCCTCCTTTAGTTCTCCAAATGGAAGATTGGCAAATTTCAGCTGATTTTTGGACTCAAAGTAAGGCCTAATTGCATTGAAGTTAGAACCTCCTTTACTACTCCTAAAAGTCAACAAACCCTGAAAATTCAGGCTTAAAGTAGGGCTTAAATTTCGACTCGGGATGCCAAAATGAAGGAGATATTTTTAAAATATGGCTTTGCTCTCTCAAAAATTTCAAAACTCGAACGCAAAACCTTAACGGAATTATTTAAATAAACGAAATTATTCAAAATAAGAAATTAAATTTAAACGCAAAATAAAAATCTCTTTCAATCTGTTCCTTCTGCATCACTTTCCGTTTCACCCTTGTCATCTTCGCTAAAATATTCCTCATTGTCCTCTATTTCATCATTCTCCTCTTCGTCTGTTACATCCTCGCAATTACTCTCTTCTAAATCATTTTCTTCTTCATCAGTTTCATCTTTTTTCTCTTCACCGTTTTTGTCCTCGCAATTACTCTCTTCTAAATCATTTTCTTCTTCATCCATTTCATCTTTTTTCTCTTCCTCGTTCTTGTCCTCGCAATTACTCTCTTCTAAATCATTTTCTTCTTCATCCATTTCATCTTTTTTCTCTTCTCCGTTCTTGTCCTCGCAATTACTCTCTTCTAAATCATTTTCTTCTTCATCCATTTCATCTTTTTTCTCTTTCCCGTTCTTGTTGTTCTTGCGCTGCAAAAATTGAAAAGAATTTAATAAATAAATAAATAATAATAATAATTAGTACGCCAGAGTTGTAAAAGTTACTAAAATATAAAATACAGAAAGTTATTTATGTATAAAGCCCCTTAGTTAACCCTAAATTTTTTTCTCTGGAAAATATATACAGAAATCTTAATGTAGGATATTTCAAATAACTAACAAGTGACTATACCAAACATTTCAAACTGAAATACTTTCGTTTATAGGTTGGATTCATCCTTGCTAAAGCTTACCATATTTAAAGCCTTGTCATTTTCCTCCTCCGAAGTACATCTAGGGTGACGCAAAGTCCCACACGTATTGTTTATTAACTTAGTTAAATGTTTTTCTTTAAAATCATCCGTGTTTTTGCTTTTCTTCCGTTGTACGTAATCTATGAAAGAATAGTATTTTCATTTTACAGAATTTTCGTGTAACTAATCGAATATAAATTAACTTATTGAATTTATATTAAACAAAATTTTTATGTAAGAAAAGTTGAATTTCAATGAATTTGTATTTATTACAAATTTTAATTAACAGAATATTAAATTAGAGAAATTTCCAAATTATAAAATTAATATTTCGTTAAATTTTTATTTTCACGAATAGATATTTGTATTGAATTATTTAGATGGTACATATATTTAAAATTTTATATTTCTAAAAAATCATGAAATACTTCATAAGGAAGTTTGCTTTATTGTTTTTATTTTTTACTTACAAAGAATAGCTTCTCTAATATCTGCAGGAACTGCCGGCCTTCCTCTCTTTCTTCTTCCCTTTGCACACATTTCTTTTAAATTTTCGTCGCCAACCAACTCTATTAGAAGAGCTCGTGCCAAATCATTTGGTTTGTTTCTTAAGCGTTGCATAATTATCAATTTAGATGTTGAGACATATACCGGCAATCCTTTTTTAAGTTGTGTCTTTGACTGGGTATCGTCAACTGGACGTTCCTTTTCCTGAGAAAGAGTTTAAAAAAATATTTTTAATTAAGTAGGCTATCTGATGATAGATATTGTATTAAAAAAATTAATAAGTTTCTAATTTCTATAAATCTTAGGCTAAATCGTAATTTCTGCTTATTAAAAGTAAAGTTAAAATTGTATAATAAAATTATATAATATAATAAAAGTACATTTATTTTTTTGATGATTGGTTGATTCGCCTTATTCCTCATCCATTCAGTTAATCTTTCAAAAAATGTGATTGTCTTTGAATCTATTTCTTTAAATTAAGAAGAAAATTAATTCTTGTAATAAATATAAACATAACTTCACAAATATTAGAGCTGTCCAAAAAGCACGAAGCTCGAAGCTCGAGTTCTAGAGAAAATTAAAATACTGTTTTAATACTTATTTAGTTTATTGATTCAATATACCGCATAAATTCGAAATTTTGTACTTATTAATATTTTTTTTGTAATTTAAAAGCTTGAATCTAATCGAGTACTCGAATTCACTCGAGTGCTCGAATTTAATCGAGTACTCGAATTGACCGCAGTACTTGAATTTTTCGATTACTCGAAATCGCTCGAGTCCTTGAAAATTTCGAGTAAACGATACATCCAGCCGGCTCGGACTCGGCTCGAAAAAAGTACGGCTCGGCTCGGCTTTTCGAGATTTTTGCACAGGTTTAACAAATATAATATTTAATATAATTTTACCTAAATCTTCAAATATTAATTCTAAGCTATGATTATCAGATGTTGGAATATGTTGATCGATTGTGATTTGTATTTCCTCTTGGTCTAAAAGAAAAATATAATTTTTGTTTACATATTTACTTTTATTTTGGAATGGAGACTATTTTTGGGCTTAAATGAAGAAAGAACATGTAAAACATATTTTAGAAACAAATTCGCAAAATTACCAAATTATTTTTTATTTTATTTATTTATTTAAAAAATATACCTGAAGCATTCAAAGCTCCAATCTCATGGTCATCATCAACCTTTGCCTTCTTAGCTGTAAAAAATAATAGTAATATATACATGTCAAAAAAATAATATAATTAACATTAGAAACGTTAAATTCTTTTTTTTTAATATTTCAAATTATTCAAAAAATTAATAGAAAAAATTAAGAAATTAACCTCAAGAATTTTTTAGTTTCACAGAATTCCTACCTTATTTGAAGAAAAAACGGTTAACTTTAAGAAAACTATAATCTATTTGTCAAATAATTTTTTATATCCTATTTATATTGTTGAATATGTTTAAAAATGTATTAAAAGCTAACAAATTGACTTTTACTTCCCTCGATTGTTTATTTATTTTACATTAATATCATAAATTATGATAAAAAAAATAAAATAAAACAACAGGAAAATTTTAAGAATTGTAGAATTTGCATTTCTAAAGATTTGAGGATATAAATTTAACCAATTAAAATATTTTTTTTATACCTGAAGGTTGCTCTTGGTACTCCTCATTCCTTAACCTTTTCTGAATATTCTCTTTGGATGTAAGTTTTAAGTTATCAGTAATACCATCTGAGAAGGAGGTAGAAGGCATCGATTGAAAACTATTTAGTTTCTGAATTTTTTCCTCTTTTTCATTATTTTTGTCAATTTCATTGTTCTCTTCATTTTCTGATGCATCATTCGTAATAAATTTTTCTGATTTGCAGCTTTTTCTTTCTTTTTGTGCTGTTTTATTATTATTATTTTTTTTAAATTTCTTGCTTTTTTTGTTGTTGTTTTTGTGTTGTTTTATTATTATTTTTTTTTTCTTTTAACATTTCTTGCTGTTCTTGTTGTTGTTGTTTTTGTGATGTTTTATTATTTTTTTTCTCTATTTTTTTAAACATTTCTTGCTGTTCTTGTTCTTCTTTTTGTGTTTTTTTATTTTTTTCTCAATTTCTTTTTTAACATTTCTTGCTGTTCTTGTTGTTCTTTTTGTGTTTTTTTATTATTTATTTTCTCAATTTCTTTTAACATTTCTTGCTGTTCTTGTTGTTGTTGTTTTTGTGATGTTTTATTATTTTTTTTCTCAATTTCTTTTAACATTTCTTGCTGTTCTTGTTGTTCTTTTTGTGTTTTTTTATTATTTTTTTTCTCGATTTCTTTTAACATTTCTTGCTGTACTTGTTGTTCTTTTTGTGTTTTTTTATTATTTATTTTCTCGATTTCTTTATTTCTATTTTCTGCATTACCAGTTCTTATCAATTTTTCCAATTCGCTGTTTTTATTCTCTTTTGAAATTTTATGCTGTTCTTGTTGTTCTTTTTGTGTTTTTTTACTATTTTTTTCTCGATTTGTTTATTCCTATTTTCTGTATCACCAGTTTTTACCAATTTTTCCAATTTGTTGTTTTTTTTCTCTTTTGGTATTTCTTGACTTACGGGTTTCACGATTTTTATTTTTGAAGAAACTCCTTCTTCTGTTATTACTTTTAATTGATTCTTTGCGCCTATTTGCTTCTCATTTTACGATTCACCTATATTATATTTTTAAATTTTATTAATTTATTATTCTTATTTTATTTATTTATTTATTATTATATTATTAAATTTTATTAATTTATTATTCTTATTTTATTACTTTATTTATTATTATATTTTTAAATTTTATTAATTTATTTATTATTATATTATAAACTTTACTAATTTATTATTCTTATTTTATTACTTCATTTATTATTATATTTTTAAATCTTATTAATTTATTAAAAAAAAAATTTTATTACTTTATTTATTATTATATTTATAAATTTTATTAATTTAAAAACAATTAATTACTACCTAAATTGCACTGAAGATCCCTATTAGTTAGCAAATGCTTTTCGAATAATTTATTCGTTTTTGCTCTCATCGTCTGTTTTAATTTTAGCGCTGCTGCATTTTCTTCTTTTGACGTATTGTCCATATTCTTCTCTTGACATACGGGTTTCACGATTTTTATTTTTGAAGAAACTCCTTCTTCTGATATTATTTTTGGTTGATTCTTCGCGCCTATTTGCTGCTCATTTTTCGATTCACCTATATTATATTTTTAAATGTGATTAATTTATTTTTCTTATTTTATTACTTTATTTATTATTATATTTTTAAAATTTATTAATTTATTCTTATTATTTTATTACTTTATGTATATTTTAAAATTGTATTAATTTATTATTCTTATTTTATTACTTTATTTATTATTATATTTTTGAAATGTGTTAATTTATTATTATTTTATTACTTTATTTATTATTATATTTTTAAATTTTATTAATTTAATATTATTTATTTACAAATTAATTATTTGTATTAATTTATTATTTATATATTTAAAATTAAAAATTTTAATTATTTTAATGAAATTGTAGTACCTTTCACGTCATTCGTTTTCGGATTTTGACTGATGTTTTTTGATAAATCTTTAATTTTTGAATTTATTGTTGCATCATTTTTACTCCTCAGCATTTGGAGTTTCTTATCAACTGATTTACTGGTCTTTCGTTTTGATAGTAATGATGTACTCAACTCCTTTTTTTGATCCATCAAAATTTCCCCCTCATTGCTCACTGTTAATGTTTTCAAAAACGCTTCATTCTCTGAAAATTTGAGGTTAAAATTGTAAAATTTTATATAATTTATATAACTTTAATTGTAGATAAATACATAAAAATTTTAACTGCTTAAAAAAATGTTTCTTTGTCTTCATTATTATAATTATTACTGTCTACAAAAATTTTTATTCAATGTTTATACTAACCACTCCGAGATATTATTACTCCTTTATAAGGTTCTTTTCCGTAAAAAACCGTGATTGAATCGCCAATTTCCTTCGATTTCTGTTCTTCGGTTTCCTTTAAAACCGTCACAGAATTGTGTTCATCCCACTTCACAAGAAGAAACATTTTATATTATAACGAAGAACTTAAGCAAATTGGCAAAATTTCAATGACATTAATAACAACGCGAATTTAGCCGTAGGATAAAAAAAGAATGTCATTTGAAATTAGCTCATCAAATAACACGATATTTGCAATAGAAGAAAAAAAATTAATGTTTTATTTTAAATTTTCTCAATTTGAAAAGCGGTTATGATATTTTTCAATTGCAAAAATCAATTTTTTACCGTTTTTTGTAGAATTAATTATTTTTATTAATAATGCGGCGACGATACAAAAACCTCGAAGAATACTCTATAAGTCATCAAAACAAAATAATAGCATCTTTAGAAAGAGAAAGTTCAAGTGACTCTGTTGATTCTTTAAATTCTGTGAGTTTGAAAAAATATTTATATAAATAATTTTTAAAATTGCTACAAGAAGTGTAATTATATGTTAATATTTTTTCTTTACATCAATTAATTTTAATCTAAAATAATAAATGAATAATAATAATTAAATTACTAGAAAAAATAAAATAATAATTAGAAAAAAATATATACATTGAAAAAAGTTTATTTGATTGAAATAATTTTTATTTTTTTAATTGATTCATAGCAATATTTATTAGATCCAATTATTTTATTTATTAATTTAAGTAATTCGCATTTTATACAAATAACTATTTATTTGATACTATAAATTAAAATAATTATGTGTATTAAATATTTTCTTAGTTTAAATAAATATTTAATGGATAATAGAAAATTAAACCATTTAATTGAATCAAATCATTTTTTTAGTGTATAAAATATAATTTATTCTTAATTAAAGTAGTTGAATTATTGTTTTTTAATAATTACATTGTAGAAAAATCAAAAATATAATTAAATAAGTTTTTGAAGTTGGTCGGTCAAATTACTACTGTCAAAATTACAAAAAAGTTATATAGATATAAATATAAATATTTTTTAAAAATTTTATTATGAATAAATAATTAAGAAAAGTAATGAATAAAGCAAATAAAAATTAAAAAAGTAAAATAATTAAATAAGTTTAAATGTATTATTAGTTGGAAAATGTAAACGTGGATACAAGTGAAGATGATAATGAGATTGGCCCTGGAAATGCTGCAGCAAGTAGTAATTCTATGATTGATAATGGTGATGATGAAGATGATAATAATCACGATGATGCAGTTAATGGTGGCGACAATGGTGATGGCAACAGCAATAATAATGATAACAATAATGAAGATGACGATAAAATCGATGATGACGAAATCGATGATGATGATGATGACGATGATGACGAAATCGATGATGATGACGATAACGATGATGACGAAATCGATAATGATGACGATTATGATGATGATCATGGCGAGGTTAATGGTGATGTTGACATCAATAATGATGATGACAGCAGTAGTGGTGTTTCCAATGGTTCATTGATAAACTTTAATAATGGTGATTCTTCTGACAGTTCATTTGTTTCTTCACTTAATGAAACTTCTTCTGATTCATCTGGATCAGAATCTGACATTTCCAACGTGTCAATTGATGAAGGTAATGATAACGCATTTTTAATGAACATTTAACAAACTATTTAGTTAATTGCTTAATAGTTAATCAGGGTTGCCACGCAACCTGGAAACCTGGAAATATCAGGGAATTTTATAAACCTTGAAAAAACTTGGAAAAGTCAGGGAATCTTTATCGAATTCCTGGAAAATTTGTTATTTTCTAAAGTTTATTCTTGAAATCTAATTTTACATAAATATTTCAAAATTAATTAAATTTAAAAAGAGTTGCGTTTACAATTTTCGTAAGTATAAATGAATTTCAAAGGTTTGAATTTTAAATTTTGTAAAATTTCAATTGTGAATGAATTTAATTAGAAATCGTCTTAATGAACGTCGGTTTTTGAAAAAATTTCAATTATTACAATTCTTCTGAAATTTATTTAAATTTTTTAATATATATTTTCAATTGATTATTAAAAATAATGGATTTATAGAAAATTTTTAATTAAAAACACTAAAACAAATTGGATTTTGAAGCAATTATAAATAATTGCAGAAATTCAATTATTTTCAAAAGTAGTAAAATTCATCTTAGAAATTCAATTATTTTCAACAATTTTAATAAAATTCGTGATAAAATTTCGATTATTTTCAAAAATTTTCCTCAATTCAATTATTTTTAATAAATTTACTAATTTAATAAAATTTTCTAAATGAATTCAATCATTTAAAAAAATCTTAATGAAATTCCACGCAAACATTTAATTATTTTTATAGATAATACAATTTTTTACAGGGATTCAATTATTTTTATAAATAATAAAACTTAATGTTGAATTTAAATTATTTTTAATACAATTTTAATAGAATTCCTCGAAATTATTTTCTATACAGTTTTAATTAAATTTCTTCAAAAAATTTAATTATTTAAAAAAATTTTAATGAAATTCTTCGTAACAACACAATTTTTAAAAAAAATAATTTAAATAAAATTCTTCGTAGAAATTTTAATAATTTCAAATATTTGTCAAAATTAAGTTATTTCCAATATCTACCATTTCAATAAAATTTCATAAAAGAATTCAATTATTTAAGAAGAATATTTTAATAAAATTCGTCTCAAGAATTCAATTATTTTCAAAAGTAATATAATTCTTCGCAAAAATTTAATTGTGTTTAACAATTTACAAAAATTCTCGTCAAAATTTCAA